CCTCCCCTCCCCCCCCCCCGTGCAGGGTAACCAGAGCCCCCCCCCCCCCCCCCCCCACCACCTTCCTGGAGCCAACTCTGCTCCACCACCCACAGCCTCCATGCACCGTGACAAACACTCAACAGACATTGTGTTTGTACCTGCACCTGCACCTCTCACACACACACACACACTCTCTCACACACACACACACTCTCTCTGTCTGGAGAACGACGGCTCCATCAATCACTGCTGTCAACGCAGCAAATGAAATTCTGCTCTCTACATAACGTACAGCATTTATAATCAGCGTCATAATGAGGGCCACGGAGATCGATATGGAAACTCTGCGTCCAACTCTTTTTCAATCACTTTTTTTTTATAATTGTTTTCTATAGAAACTTAATTAACAGAAAAGTTTGTGAAATGGTTTCAACTATAAATTGGCTGAAAAATGTGAAACAATAACAAAGAAAAGACTTTTGACTCATTTCTACGTCTGGAGGCGACAGCGTGAGGCTACGGTGACAATAGTACCTGCCTGTAAACCCAGTGGTTAGCTTAGCCTAGCCTTAGCCTAGCCTAGCCTTGGCTCTAAAAATAACATGTCCTAGCGTAGCGCTAATCTACTGTTAATAAGCTAGGTGCTTTCACACAACCACCTATCCAGTTCTACTTTGAATTCCATTAGCACACAAAAGTGCTAGCTCGCCGCTAACACACTGCTAGCTCACTGCGCATACAGTTTGAACCGGTGAGCGGCTAATCTGGAGGGAACACTAAACCTTACCTTTAGATCAGGGGTCTGCAACTCGTGGCTCTGGGGCACGGAACGGAATGGGATTCAATCCTGGTTACGAGCCGTGTACAGCGCCCTCTACTGGTGTTCTAAACAAATCCACAGACACAGTTAGTTAGAAACGTCTGGGTTCATCCTGAAAGCTGAACTGTTTCACATCACTTGCCTTTTTTTTTTTTTTTTCGTCCACTGATTCCAAGTGTAAAGTTCAACATATGTGGACCATACGGCAGGTCATCAGCACCGCGCCCACGCAGCAGCTGCCGCCGCCGCCGAGCTCACGTCACAGCTTCACCAAATATCCCTCAGCAGCTTCTGAGTGGATTTTATGATTTGGCTCATTTTAAATGACAGGCGTCACAGACCTGTCCTCTGTGGGCCACAGACCTGTCCTCTGTGGGCCACAGACCTGTCCTCTGTGGGCCACATTTAATTCATATATAAATGTATATTTATATTTACTGTTAGCCATTCCTAGACTACCTTTTTTGGAGGAATAATAATTATATTTTATAATATAATTTATAATTATCATTTATTGTTTATAATATAATTAATAATAATTTTCAGACCTATGGAAAACTTAACAATAATAATAATATAAAAAGATATTTACTATTGTTATTTATGATTTGTTTTTAGCTATTTGTTGCAATTGTAGAGTTAAAAAAAATGGAGAATTTTAGCTCCTTAGCTAGCTTCTTGGCTAACCTCAAGCGTTACGTTGCTAGCGTTTAGCTATATGAGCCGTGTTTAACGTTATATTAACACCATATAATCTCAGCAGATCAGTTTTAAAGTAAACCTAATCTATGGAAGTAGCTAGCGTACGCCAACCAATTAGCACGTCTCAGTGACCGTCACTGGAAGCGTCTCTAAACCGACCGTTAAATATAGCTGTTAAACCAACGCATGGCGTCGTCTCGTTAGTTAAATGAGTCTTGAATATAGATTTGCCCACGAGGGGCTGATGTCACACGTCGACTTGTCATAGAGCAGCTAACGATGGGGAAAGATTCACACGTGGACGGTTTAGGGATGGCGTCGTCACACACCTGGCAGGTGTCAGTCTTCTCACTGCGGCTCCAGCAGAGTAAGGCACCGCCGGCGTAGACCGAGTCGACCAAAGAAAAGTCGGCAGGAATAATCACGGCAGGGGAGATGTTAAATGAGACGTGTCGGAGAGTAGATTAAAAAAAAAAAAAAAAAGGGATAATTGTCAGGTTAAATATGGCTCTGTGTTGCCCTGATTGTATCAATATTCACAGCTAGCATCTTGAGAAAAAAAAAAAGTTAACAAAAACAGAACTCAAAGTTGACATAATGTCGGGAAAAACACGGGCCTTCAATAAATATAGTAATAATATTTTAGGCCATGCTAAAAAGCTAGCTTGCTAGCCTCAAGGGGGCGCTACCAGGAAAAGTGGGTTAAAAAATGTATACGTTTATATAATACTTTTTTTCACAAAGACCCACGATCTTTCTTAAATAAAAGAAAATGAAAGAAAAAAGCAATAGTCGAAAAACATTAAACGTTAGCCAGAAATTTAGCTTTTTTTTTTTTTAAATTTTTTGAAGAGATTTATCAAAAAACAAAATAATAAAATTGGAGAAATTGGATATTTGATTTATTTTTCGACCTCCAAATATATTTGTATATAAGCTGTGTATATAACTGTTCACCGACTTTTTAAAAATACATTTAAAAACTTTTACAAACGCCAACTTTGAAGTGCTTTTTTGTTGAACTGGAACTTTTTTTTTTAAGATTTAATCAGACACGGACAGGAAGTGGTGCACGACATCAACCCCCCTCGTTGGGCACCAGGTTTGGACTGAACGCTGTTTGTACGCGGTGCGTAACTAAAACTGAAAAGGTTACGTACGCTCACTGAGCCGCTCCTGAAATTCATGTCAGAAAAATGAAGCCCGGCTGAAAACGACGGCACCTTTTTAAATGTGAAAAGGGTCGACGCGGTTACGGAGCATTTGTTTTCAGTCGCTCATCAGCGCCACTTACTGGTGGAGCAGCCGAGGGCACGGTGAAGTGAGACGTTTCAGAAACTCCAAGGAGTCGTTTCACGTTCAGTTCATGAAATCTGACTCCTTTAGAAAAAGAAACAGTTCATCATTAACGTCTCCAGATTCCGTCCTCAAAAACCTTCAGTTGTTAAATATAATTGTGATGTGAGTTTGTAGTGGAGAAATGAACCCAACCTTTTATGTCTCCTCATTCATCAGGTCCATAACTGAACTCTACTTGAATTCAAAAGGAGGAAATCGTTCTTTGGATTAAAATGCTAAAAATCTCAACCAAGTCATTACAAAAACCTGAAATTATCATCGATCGTTTCTTTTTAAATAATAAAAACCCCTCTGTATGGGCCTCCTGAAGTGGAGTGGGCTGGAAGTGGTCGGCTGCACACTGTGTTTTTAATGAAAATGAGTCAAAGTCCTTAAGACTGGAGCACTTTGACCTTTAACACCAGGAGATAAACGACGACGTGCGGAGATTCTGGAAAGAATTCTGACTTTTTTTTTTTTCAATTTTCTGTTCAGTTTCTAAATGATATTTTACAGAATTTGTCTGGAGCTCATTTTGTTTCAAAGAAATCGTGATGAAATCATACAACGTGAGTCGAGCGCACGGTCACATCCCCTGCTGTGACTGATGGGTTCATCAGCCTCAGCCGACGGAGACAAAAAAAAATCTCCATTGAAACCAGAGACATTTGACAGAATGAGAGGCAGAACAGCAGCAGATTTCTTCAGCTGGGTTTATTTGGTCTCCTGTCGACAACAGCTGTGCTTTGGGGGGGGGGGGCTTTAATGTTTTTTATTTACGTTCCTCTTTACAACATATTATACAGTCGTCAAATGCTGTTAGTACCTCAGAATAACCACAAGCATTAAAACAAACGTTGGATAAAAAAAATAAAATAAATAAAAATAACAATAAAAAGAAGAAAAAACAAACATTTAAGAAGCTCAAACACTTTAAATAAGGATGTGTTTTAGTGCAGGTTTACAGTCCGTACAAAGAGAAACAAAGAGTTTAGACGGCGTTGTTTTCAGTCGCAGTGCTGTCTTATGTCAGGTGACTGTGTGGCTTTGCTGCAAAAAAACAAAAAAAAAAAACGAAAAAAAAAACAAAAAACGGGGGGCAAACGTTCCGAGCGGTGGGTTCGGTCGGAACGTTAAACAGCGACGGTTTTAGCACCTCCATTCCTGCGATGAATTTTAAAGGAACATTCAAGTCTGGCAGCGTCCACCCCTGAATATCAAACACGCAGATCGCAATCCATCCTTGGCTCAGGGAAGGAGCACCTTAAAAAT